TAATCTCGACAGACAGCCCAAAAGAAGCGGAAACTGGAGACAGGCGGAGGCGCGAAGAAAAGAGGAAGACTTCTCTAATCCGTGGAGAAGGAGAGGAAACCAGAGGCAAGCCATGATCGCGAAAACAAGACAAAACGCAGCACATTCACAGCACATGACACTTAGTGCTGGCATCTACAAAGCAGTGAGGCTCTGGCATCTGTTAGGAAGATGCAGTAGAGCAGCCAGAGATTTTGCAGTACAATTCTGTCAACAAATACACATTACTTATTTACTGATTTTTTTTAACATGCAGTACTACGATTTTACAAACAACAAGCATGAATAAAGTGCAGAGCTGTTCAACACCTGCTTTGGGTTATTTAACATAATTAATCACCACGATTCAAGCCTACGGGATGGGTTAAAATTGCTGAATATATTATTTTACAGACACAGCACCAGAACAAATGCTTGGTAAATAATAAATTATCTTACAAAAGGGTAATTACCTTACATCTGTTTCTGCAACAAGGGTGTGTAGTTGCTTGAGTGTTGATTCATTCTACTTGTATGCGGTTTTCGGGTTCTTTGGTTTAGTTTCATTGCACTCAACAAGTTTTGTTGTTATTGTTCTGTGAAACCTGATTAAAATTGCAGGCACAGCCTGAACACTAAAATAACTTCAGACAGAAGGCGAGGGAGAGGGTGACCGTTATTTACAGCCAGCTTGAGCAGAGATGAGTCACTAGCTTGAGGACAGTCTGGTTACACAGATGCTGACATCAAAAACTAGACCCCATCTTATGACAGGTGAAAGGAGAATGAGCAAACACAGAAGATCAAATAAACATACAATGAAAAAGTACCGATCTGGGAAGCATGAAGTCAACAAATGGATCGGCTGGAATTGGGATACAAATAAATTGTTAAATATTGATCAACCAGTAAGAGCTTATTGTTTTTTGCATGGTGAGGAATAGACATTCCAGTTGTTTCACAACCACTACAAGGACAGACAGAAGAGCGATAAGGGCGAAAAAATAGGAGTGTGTTGTTGTACACTGCTGTTAGAAACAAAGGTAAATTTATTACTTATAGATGTATTGAAATTACTGAAATTCTCATTACAGTTTTTCTAAGTGGCTTTGGTGCATTTCTCACAACACTATTTACATTTGTACAACAGTTAATGCATTTCTCAAAACAATTAGTCATTTGTGCACATCATATTGGCAGTTTCTCATTCCTTCCAACATACTGCAAATGCTTTCGGACATGCATCAATTGCTTTCATACAACTCTACTGTTTTATAACATTATCATTTGCTTCTGTCATGTCAGTCAAAATGATCTAAACTTGTAAATGCTGAATAGTCATTCCATATAAAACTAATAGTCCTTATTTTATTACTTGAGACATTAAAAAAAATGATGAACTAGTTGTCAAAATCTGTCAAGCTAATTTTATACAACATTTTAAATCTTTTGTTTTCCTGAAAATGTCTTCCAATTTGAACAATTTCAAGAATGATTTACAGACCTGTGTGTGTTGTAGGTTCAGTTCTAATATGTTCTGCATTATTGTTTACAGTTATGCATAGCTCTAAAGGGAGTTTATGTTTGTTGTAAATAAGGGGGTATTTATTCTTTTGCACACTGCTGTGAATAAATTAGATTTGTAAAGAGCAAATGCAGTAAAAGTATGAAGCATGCATATTCAGTGTCTTGAACTCAGATATCTCACTAAATGCAGTGATGTCTGACTTTACTGTAGTTTTCAAATGGCTGTGCAAATAGTATCTAGTGCTGTCTTGAGCATTTTCAGGAAGTGTCACCAAAATCTGACTTTTTCACATTGGAAAATGTAGAGTGAACTGTCATAATGAAAACATGACAAAGCCATTTGACTATCTTGTTCATAAACAACGATGTCAGGACTTTACATCTTGATGACACTGACACTGTCATTGACATCAATACTTGCTTTTGACAAATAAGCTATCCATTTTGAGCAAGTGACTACTTGTTTTAAAAAAAGTATTAACTGTTGTGCAGAAATGCACTAGTGTTGTGAGAAACGCACCAAAGTGACTGATAAAAACTGTAATAAGAAATAAATAAGTACTGTAAAAAATCAAATTAACAACACAGAGATTTGTAAAGAAATCTGTTTTGGAGAGTAAAGAAAAAAAGACTATAAAAATAAACAGAAGTTGTTTTATTTACAGTGGTAATTCAAATATAGATAGATAGATAGATAGATAGATAGATAGACAGACAGACAGACAGACAGACAGACAGACAGACAGACAGACAGACAGACAGACAGACAGACAGACATAGACAGACCGACAGATAGACCAACACACAGATAGATAGATAGATAGATAGATAGATAGATAGATAGATAGATAGATAGATAGATAGATAGATAGGTAGGTAGGTAGGTAGGTAGGTAGGTAGGTAGGTAGGTAGGTAGGTAGGTAGGTAGGTAGGTAGGTAGGTAGGTAGATAGATAGATAGATAGATAGATAGATAGATAGATAGATAGATAGATAGATAGATAGATAGATAGATAGATAGATAGATAGATAGATAGATAGATAGATAGATAGATAGATAGATAGATAGATAGATAGATAGATAGATAGATAGATAGATAGATAGATAGATAGATAGATAGATATAGACAGACAGACAATACAGACAGACAGACAGACAGACAGACAGAGATTGACAGACCGACAGATAGACCAACACATAGATAGATAGATAGATAGATAGATAGATAGATAGATAGATAGATAGATAGATAGATAGATAGATAGATAGATAGATAGATAGATAGATAGATAGATAGATAGATAGAGTAAACATAGACAGACAGACAGACACAGATAGATAGATATAGACAGAAATAAAAAATGAATAATTACGAAGCTCAACTACATGCTACATCTTTTGTTTTAGACATTATTTAGAATATAGTTCACACGAACATACAAATTCATGCCATCATTTACTCACCCTAACACAACAAGATATTTTGAAAAATGCTGAAAACCTGTAACCATTGGCTTCCATATTTATTAGTATTTGGGGTTTTTCTTTTCTCGATATCAATGGTAACAGGTTTCCAGCATTTTTCACAATATTATTTTGTGTGAAAGCTTTCATAAAGGTTTGAGTGAGATAATATTGTCATTACATTTAAAATTTACATTGTGCGTAAACATCTAATGAACATCAGATGTGTCATCATTCGTATTAGCATGTACCTACCCATCATGTTACCACTTGTGCCTGCCATCTTAATGATTTGTGGTTTAAATACTGTACAGTATGTTTTAGCAACTCTTATCTCTATTACATAATGTTGCTGTTTTTAGTTTATTTTGTTCATATACATTTTTATTTAAATGTTCATATACATTTATCTGCTTAACTATGTTTGTATTTTTCTGGCTAATTCTGGTTCCTTTGCAGCAATGTTAATTAATGTACCTTGTCCCTGCAAACAAACAAACATACAAACAAACAAACAAACAAACAAAATAAAGAATTGTCTACCACTAGCCCAAAAATTTCATTATCAGCATTATAACCTGTAATTTAATTATCCTCACTCCTTAATAAAATTTTTATATGCAACATTCAAAACATAAAACTATTAAACAACTAAAATAAAAAAGCACACAGAAAGCAAAAAAACAGGTAATTCAAAAAAACAACTTACACAACATAGTAAATTTATTTTATGTATGAGAAGAGTCACCACAGATTGCATTGTGACGCAGTGACTTGAGTAGTGTAATGCGAAAGAGGTATTGCAGTAAAGGGCAGGACACACTGCGGTCGAGCAGACACCTGCTCACGTCACTGAGCTCAGCTTCAGCAGCACACAGATGTCCTGAACTACAGGTGGAGCAGTGCAGTCAGTGTGCTAAAGTCAGGAAAGCTCACACTCCTCTGGGGAGGAAATGAAGGAGAAGGTGGAAATAAAAGCGACGGGAACAAACTTAAAGGGGAAGTGTGCTTTTTATATTTCTGTCTCACATTAGATTAAAATTAAAATCACTTGACTGACAGTTGAAGTAAAAATAACTAGCCCTCCTGTGAATATTTTTTCTCTTTATATATTTCCCAAATGATGTTTAACAGAGCAGTGACATTTTCACAGTATTTCATATAATATTTTTTCTTCTGAAGAAAGTCAATTTTTCTTTTATTTCGGCTAGAATAAAAGCAGATTTAAATTTTTTAAAACTATTTTAAGGTCAGTAATATCAGCTCCTTTAAGCAATATTTGTTCAATTATCAACAGATCAAACTATCATTATAGAATGAGTTGCCTAGTTACTCTAACTTGCCTAATTAACCTAGTTATGCCTTTAAATAGCTAATTAAGCTGAATACTAATATCTTGACAATTATCTAGTGAAATATTATTTATTGTCATCATGGCAAAAATAAAAGGAATCAGATCAAATCTTTAGAAATGAGTTATTTAAGCTATTATGTTTAGAAATGGGTTGAAAAAAATCCTCCTACAGAAATTGGGGAAAAATTAATACTTCGAGAGGGACTTCAACTGTATGTATGTATGTATGTATATATATATATATATAATCGTTTAGCGATTAGTGTAAAAATAAATTCATTTATAATTTAGTTGAGTAATTCTGTTTAGGGACGCTGAAATGACACACTTCAACTTTAAGAAAGTCCAGACAGGTGTTGCCATTTTGGGCGGATTTACGCCTGATTAGTTGATTACTAAGTCAAATTCTCAAAACATGTGTAGGCTAACAAATAAAATCATACAGATCTCCATCTAAGCAGTCCTCATGACATTATCAAACACACACCCTCTGCAGAGTCAAGAATGTTGACGTTGTCACAGGCAAACCTTATTTTTTGATACCTGAACCTGGTGTGCATTGTCTCCAATTTTTGGCCTGGAAATCATCAACCCAATCTGGCAACACTGTTCTGCTAAGACAGAATAGGACTCTTACTGGTGACAGCGATGTTAATCTCTCCGGAGCGAGGAATGAGCTCTTCGTCGGAGGGAAGCTGGGAGGAACTGGAGTGGCGCAGAGGCTCCAGACTGATGCTGGTCTCTGAGGACAGGTCCACTAGTGCTGTCCTCTGGCTGGAGGTCTGACTGCGGGACATCCGATCCATGTCGAACGCCATGTTGTCCACGCATGGCAGGTTGGGCTGCAAGTACATTAACGTGTTAGTCAAACTGAATTGATACGAATTTTTTTTAAATAACTTAGATTGCATTTTCTATTCAAACACCCATAAAGATCTTACTCCTAAAGAACTAATATTTACCTACATCTTTTAACTGTTTTTTAACATGATCACAGCAAAAGATTAGATCTGACTTTAACCCTGATTAAGATTTTAAGACCAAGTAAAGACAATTATAATAAATAATTTGAAGGAAGCACAGAAGCACCAATATGTTCTCTAAATGCTAATGCATAAAGAGCATATAATGGGTAGGCCTATCGCACAACACATGGACATGACCCCAATAATTTGAGGTGATGCAATATATATTGCCCATACATAAAATAAAATTCTAGCAACATTTTAGCTGATTCTGCAGCATCTCTATATCTATAGGGGATGTCAGTGCCAGTGTGGTTAAAAAAAATACTATAGTATTTACTTATAGTATATTTTCATGTAGGTCTCTGACAACTGAAAATAGATCTGGTAGCAGCTATTGCAGCCTCTGTTACCTTTCACCTTGCACTTTTTTATTAACATTTAGTAATATTTATTTAGGAAATGCGCTTTCACATTCTGATTCCGTTGCCTATTCATTAAATTGTTAAAGTGACTATAATTAAATAAAATATTCTTAAGAATAAAATATTATGTGTTCTTTGGAAAAGTGCATTGTAATGATATTATATTGTCATTCCGGCATTATATAATAAGTGGCATACAATAGTCTTAAAATGACAATAATATTGTTTATTGCAATACATTTTGGTGCAATATATCGTACAACAAAAAATAGATACCATGACAGGTCTAATGAGTTGTATTTTCAAAGTTCATTTCAAAGTTTTAAACTTGTTAACTTTGGTTATTTGGTTTAATTGCTTAATCACACTAAACAAAAAAGATATAAAACAAACATAAATATTTGTTTTCAGACAGAAAAATTGCATGACATTACCAATGTGACCACCAGAGGGAGCAACTGGCTCATATATTCTCCACACTGATGCAAAACATCATTACACTGCAATTTTTCTTAGCTTATTACATTGTGTTGGGTACAAAAACCTAGATTGAGTTTTCTTTGGGGGGTACAAGTTTGAAAAAAACTGCAGGAATTGATGTTATTTTCAAGAGCATACATCCTGATAAATTCATTAATACAACAAATCAAATAACAGTCTTATAATGTCAAAACATGCTGCCCTCTGAGATCAACGAGACTGTTTTTGTACTAAATTTAACTGTGAACATTCATTAGTTGCACTTTGGAGAAAACTGTTCCCAGAAGATAGCGTAGGCATACAGTAAATGACAAAACCTCCCTTTAGGGACACCTGGGATATCCTCAATGGTATAAAAAGAAAAATGAAGTATATAACGTGCGTTTAATGACATGTATACATGTATGACCTAGATGTATTCTATTAAAATGGTATATGAAGACGTGTCTTGTGTCCTTATAATTCAAAATGCTTATATACTGTATAATTTTAAACAGGGTCTTTTCACATTCAGAATTAGACACAGTTTTCCTGTGAGAGTTGGATTCAGTAGCAGAGTTGGGATAGGGCCAAATAATAAGTGTTTTTTACTGTATAAAATACATTATGCCTATAGGGAGAGACCTCGTAAACCCCCAATACCAATGTGAGTATGTGTGTGTGTGTGTGTGTCCTCACCATAACCCCCAGTGCTTTAAGGATGTTGAGTTTACACATTGGACAGGTGCAGTGCTCATTTAGCCATGGATCCACACACATTTTATGAAAGACGTGCCTGAAAACAAAGAGAAAAATATTAGAAACCACCTCTGCATGTTGTAATAATCTGTTGACTCAATATATATTTGTGTTAGGCATTTGATTGCAACAACAGCATGAATAATCAAAATCTAATCTCTCCAACAATAATGCAAGACCCTGGAATGAAGCCTCAGATATCACCATAACTCTTTGCAGCGATGATGAATATTTGAAAGTGCTCTAAGAACACTGGTGCAGGAAGGACATTACATGTAGAAGCGCATTACACATTTATATTATAACCAGAGAGAGGAGAGAGAGAGACAGATTAAAAGCAAGAAGCTGCTGGACTTCAAAAGGAGCAACATGAGCTTTCACAGAGAGCTTTTGAGTGGCTTCTCCTCCTCCTGACATCCGGCTGCTGCACAATCAGAGCTGTGTTTACTGCAGGAAAGACCCAGAGCTCTTGACAGCGGAAACCCTCTTCTTGAGGGAGATTCTCTGCACAAGACTGCCATTGAGGCTCAGGGTGGAGACAAGGCAGCCATTGTGGATCTGAAGATGCTGAGGATTCTTTATCGCAGCAGCATTAAACTAATATCTAGTCATATATCTTAAATCTTCTAGTCTTATTTTTTTTTTCTTGAAAAGTTTCAGCTCAAAATATCCATCTGATCATTTATTATAGTCTTTAGAATCTGTCCATTTTGGTGTCGGAATACACGCAAAGTTTTGATGCAAAAACCTCTAAGTGCCGTCTGAAATTTATAATGAAAATGAGGATTTTTCTCAGCCTTTTATGTTTATGTTGAGTTATTTCACTTTAAAGACCATGAACAGAACTTATTTTTGCCATAAAAGTAAACATTTCTGAACCTAATACGAAATATCATCACTAGCCAAAAATACCAATTAAGTTTATTTGATGTATTTGTGCTGGGTTTTTTTTTTTCAAGCTCTCACACAAATTCCGTTTGCAGTACACACACACACACACACACACACACACACACACACACACACACACACACACACACACACACACACACACACACACACACACACACATTAGCGTTTATGCATATTATGCGGCCGTGGTAATTATAGCAGTTAAGAGTTACATAGCGATTTTACTTTCTTTACGACAAACGACAAAGGCTCAGTTTTAAAAACGCTTTAAACTTATAAAACTTATAAAAATCACAGAGAGTTCTAGCAAATATTTTAATCCCATGCAGTTTCTTTGGGAACAAAAATGTTCTGTAGACATGTATATATGTTATTATAGTAACATGGCGCCTGCCAATTAATTCCGTGGGCGGGGAAAACCGCACTCCTACGTCACGTTGTGGTGGGCCTCAAAATCAATGTCAGAAAATAAAAAAGAGACTTGATGTGTTTACATCACTCATTACATCATATGACTGTGGACTCACTATACATACACACAGTTTTGTCCATACAGTTTTCAAAAGTTGATTTTCACTATAGGTGCACTTTAATATGTTTTGTTCTGGTAACATTTCATCCAAATTTCCAATCAAAACATAGTCATTTACAGCGTTTCCTCTAAAACAATTGGCCACAACACATTAGTTTTGACAGATTTTTTAAATTTAGTCGTAAGATAAAAATGTTAAAATCTGAAAAGAAGAATGCTGTAAAAGCTATTAGTTGACTTTACTTAAAAAAGTAAGTAAACCATTGTCTTAAAATGAGCTGAAATATAAATTATTTGTATGAAAAATTATAAAAATTAATTTGTTGTTCATTCATTTTCCTTCTGCATCATTCATTCATTCATTAATTTTCTTTCTGCATCGTTCATTCATTCATTTTCTTTTCAGCTTAGTCCCTTTATTAATCAGGGATCGCCACAGCAGAACCGCCAACTTATCCAGCATATTTTTTCCGCAGCGGATGCCCTTCCAGCTGCAACCCATCACTGGGAAACATCCAAACACACCTATAGTGCATGTCTTTGGACTTTGAGGGAAACTGGAGCACCTGGAGCAAACCCACATGAACACGGAGAGAACATGCAAACTCCACACAGAAATGCCAACTGACCCAGCCTGGACTCGAACCAGCAACCTTCTTGCTGTGAGGTGACAGTGCTAACCACTGAGCCACCATTTCACAGAATTTGTTTTTAAGTAACCAGATTTACCTTTTTTTCACATAAAGAAACTAACCACTTTTTACAGTGAAGAAGAAAAAACTAACATGCATTTAGGTAATACATTAATTATACATATAGGTACTATAATAATTATATTAATTATTTATATGAAATATCGTACTCACAAATTTAACATAGGAAAAAATGCATTATTGAATGATAAATGCATATAGAAATAACAAAAAATCATTAAAATGTAGAATTTGTTAAAATAAATAATGTTTAATTTGTTACACTAACTGAATGGTGATATTTTTAATAAGACCTCAATTTATAATCGAGTAATCTGTAGTCATGGGAATTTATCTTGTCTTATATGTTGATTTTTTCCTACTTTTGTTCTTTGTTTACTCTTAAAGTGCCAGTAGATGTTGGCTTGCATTTTATGAACCACCAAGTACCCTAGTATCAGCTAAAATCTTCAGGTGAATACAATTCAGGTGACTACTATCCTTTTAAACAGCAGCTTTTAATATTGATAATACATTTTTCTTAAGCAGCAAATCAGTATATTAAAAAAAGTAACAGCTACCTTTCATTTGTATTGTTTTTGATTAAATAAACTGTGTGAGCAAATATGACATCAAACCCGAAAGCAATCAGACTTTGAACTGCATTCACCCCAGCACCACAAACAGCAAAAGTGGGCTCAAGAGGACATGCTACAGATTTTAACCCCCTAACATTTGTGTACGAGTTATATGACAATTACATGTGCTCCTACAGGGATACAAGGTGTTTTAAAAATGATCTACATGCAACGAGCATGAGTGTTCATAGAATACAGCAGCAGTAATGCATTTAAGAGAGGTTATCCAAGGATGTCAAATAATGCTAAGTGCCTCTGACACACAGTGATTTATTGGTGCTGAGAGAACGAATGCTTCTGAACTGATCCTGCACTGACAGACTTCAACATTGCTTGCTTGGATGATGAACATGCAAACAAGGGTCACATGAATTAATGATGAAGCTGTGCTTTACAACACAAAAGATGCTCAAGAGATGGATGCCTTCAAACTAAGACAGACCAGCTGTGGGCCCAATTTTTTATGTACTGCATTATTTTAGTTACCTAACAAATGCATTGTTATATACACACTTCTATCCACCATACTACAAAACAGTCGAGCATGTCCATAAAGGGAAGTGCACGCACCTAAGAAAGTTACAGGAGAAAGAGCGAAGCTAATGCACTGGGACGTAAATTGAATGGCCACGGCTAGGTCAAGTATGCTGCCATTACTTGGGCTATGAGTTATTGATTGTGGCTGGAGATGCTTATGCTTAAGAGAGCAGAGATACTCACCTTAAGATGAGATAGCCTTAAGTTGAGATGCCAACTTGTCTCATACAGTATATACTACCATTTATATAAGATTGGGGTTAGTAAGATGTTTAAAAAGTAGTCACTTACTGTATGCTCAATGCATTTATTAGATCAAAAATACATTTAAAACTATGGTGTTTTGGTACTGAAAAAACCTTGCAGAAAATATGGTAATATCAAATCATTTTTGATAGAAATCTTCTGTAGTTAATTTCTTCTGTATTTCTAACTGAAAGCAATGACATTTTGTCATTATATGTATTGACACATTTGTGTATTATGATTTGATATCACTATCAGACATTTACCCAGCAGGCACAGAACATTATAAGATGTTAATATTAGGTTAGATTTAGGTTGTGATGTCTGGTGACCCAAATTCAATGTCTATCCAGCATCAAAGGAGAACGTTATTTTAACGTCCAACAATGACGTCAAATGATGTTGACATTTGGTTGATTTTAGGTTGTGTTGAAAAGTGACCAAAATTCAAAGTCGAGCCATCCTAAACCAACGTCATATTAACGTCAAATACTGACACTTATTCATCAGATATGGCAACTAAAATTCAATGACTCCCTATTTTAATTATCAGTCAAATGCCAAGGATAACAGTTTAAAGGTAAAACCCTGTCATTAGTTATGTTTCCATCCAAAAATGCAAATGAACTTTTAAGCACAAAACTGGAATATTGCATAAAAGACGTGTGAATAAAGCAACGTTTCCATCAAACGATTCAAAGCCAACAAAATCTTCACTTCCAGATAAACTGGTGCCAAATATCAACAGTAAAAACGGATATTGCTACAGTAGGAGAAGCTCAGTGAATCTTTTCTTCATTTACTAAATGATTTGCACTTCAGAAGGCAATCCTGAGACGCAGTGAACGTGCGGTGGCATTTAAAAGCGTGAGACGCGGAGCACAGATGCTATTGATTCTGGAGGTCATTATGGTTATAGTAACACTAATACTGAAATGATTATGGTGTTTTAGAATGACCAAAACAACATTTCAGATGTTTTACAATGTGCTCAGCCTGCTGATTTATCCATTCACACAGATTTTTATCATCACATGATCTTGACTTTAATCACATGACTTTTTTAATGCGCATACTGGAATTTGTTCTGTAAAAGTGTTTCCATCATAGTTTATGAGCATCTTTTATCAAATAAAAAGTTTAGCCTACTTAGTTATGCGCATACGTTTCTTTAACCTGCATATTGAAAATGTATGCATATCTTGACATTTCCATCAACTGTTTTTTATGCCCATTTCAATAGGTGGATAAAATGTAGCTATTCTCTGCAAATGTAGCTATTAATCTGCAAGATCACCAAACTGCCTGTGCCCACTGGCCTAGAAATATATGTGTAACATTGTTAACCTATGAATAAAACTGAAGGAACTGATGTAATAATGGTTATAAAATCTTTTTTTCTGTCTTTTTTTCTTTTTTGTTTTGTTTGCTCTTTCCTTTCTTTTCTGTCTGTATAATTGTTGTTGCTTTTTGTATTGTT